ATGAAAGCCACAGAGGAAATGAAAGCAATGAAAATTTATCAAATTATTTGACCTAGAATAGAACAGGTAATAAACATTATGTAATTTCTGGTCATGGATTGCTTTCCTCTACTAGCATTTCTATCATTAAATAATAACATTTAAAGAATTGATGAATACATCAAAACACATTAAACACTGGTTAAATCGGATTATGAAAAACCGGTTTGATGGAAAACGAAGAAAAAACATTTGTAGGTGAGGCATTCTAAGGAGAAATCATTTGCACAAAAAATCGATAACATGTAGCTTGTCTTGACATAAGTCAAAATAACAACATCGTTAGTGCATAACATTTCTAAATCCATTGAATGATGGATAATTAAAACAAAAATAATCGAAAATAGCAATGAAATAAGTTATAATATTCATTCAATCGAAAGAAAAGTTAGTAAAATATTATTTTTATTCCAGTCTATTCACATACTTCATTTATATTTTGAATATGATGAAACGGTTGATTTCTGTAATCCTCACGAAATGTAAATAATTTAAGACGTTGTATCAGTTTTGCGTAAGCGATCTTATATGTCCAGTTTCTTTTTTTGAAACAAAAATCTGTCAGACAAAAATGCAAGTGATATCCTAGCATGCAATGCCCAGATGTGTATATTTCTTCAATGCAATAACACTGCTATTGGTTTTTTAAATCCATTAGGTAAGAACTCTACTAACATTGTGATTGGTTTCGTTGAAATGGTGAACGCTATTTGTCTTTGACGAATAGGAAATGATTTTAACTTTTCCAACATGTAGTTCGTATTAAGAAATAATCGGAAAACAATCCCTTTGTTCCATTTCAAAGTCCCATACCACGATGAATTGTTGATTATTATCCACTTTCTAACAGTTCTTTTTATCTGATGCCAGTTTGTGATCTAAACTACGGGCCGGACAGTCTGCACAAGTGTCTCATAGTAATATGGGTATCAGTAAAACTTGAATTATTTCTCCGCTGATAATTCAAACATTTACGCATAACGACAATTACACCATACTTATCGAACAAGTAAGTGGCTATCTGAGCTCAGTAGCTCAAAAGTTAGTGTGTTGGAGTTTGAGGGGAAAGGTAGTGGGTACAAGTTTAGCTGTAGACATCAGCACTGCGATTCATGTGCAGTTCAGCTGATGAATGTTAAGTACAATACAAAACACATCCTGAATTCAATTGATAACTATAGACTATTAACTCTAAAAAACTTTCATGCTGAATTTTATAAAGTTTTTGTGGTTAAACTTGGTCACGAGGAAAATAAAACTGCGAGCTACTTTTATAGAATTCGTAACTTAGTCACCGGACTTTTCCGTACACTGTCAAAATAACTGATTCTAACATTTCATATTTCAGATAAACCTCTCTTTGAATAAGTATATGACTCCAACCAGCGTTACACAAGATATACATGATCATTGCTAAAACAAATAATATAAAACGGTCAGGTATGATCAAGTGGCCTTGCAGAGTGATTTCCATACTTTAAATATATTTAATATCACTTCATATAACCAAGGGGAGCAACAGAAAACTAGGGTTCACCGAACAAATTTTTCCTCTTAGTTTAAAAATCTTCATCAATTCTCTTCAGAAATTTTATGGAAAAATAGCTCCAGACACTAGCCAAAGCAGAAATTAACATTCAGTCTAAAATTTCTTGTTAAATTGAAATATATTAGTTTCTCTTTATGAGTCTACCGTTCATTTATTAGTTAAGTAGGCTACTATTAGAACTAAGTAGTAGATGTCTACTACGTAAGATACATTATTCATTCATAACAATCATAATTATTCAGATAAATGCTGTATTTCGCCGCAACTACACACATTTTCCAAGTGACTAATTCAATTATTCATGTTGATCCACTTGAAGTTGAGTACAACACATTTGGAGCAAGTAACCATGATGTGTAATTAAGAGTAGTTAGGTGTGTACTTGAATGTTCACCGAATAAAAAGACCCAGTAATTCAAATAGAATACGTGATGAATATTCATCCTTCCTGTCATAAAATACTATTAGCAATTGTTCACGGAATGACTTGGACAAATATCATTCATTTCTTATTACCTTGACTTGATCATTTATTTCCATAGATGGATTTTCAAAATCAAGCATTTTCACATGGAAATTCTCTACCATTTTTTAAACATATCGCCATGAAATATCACATACTTCTGATAGACTAAGCCTTCTTATTATGCTTATTTAATTACGCCTGTTACTTCCAGTGAAGCCTTGGCCACCGACCTGTACTTAGTATTCTAAATCCACTAAAAATTTTTAATTATATTTGTCTAACGATTTATGTTACTAATGAGTAGTGTGACACCTTAGTAAACAAATTTCTCTTGTAAACAGAACTGATAATACAGTGAGAAAATATCTGCATTATGAGTTAATAAACACATATCAGTAGTATTTTCGGAGTTATAGATTCATTTTAAAGATCCTCTAATTTCTTCTAAGTCTGATAATCATAAGATGTCACTAACACCATTGGCGTAAGATTGTAGCTTTTAATGTTATATTATTTGTAATGACTAAAGTTTTAACAACAAAAGAAATTGGGTGAATTTCAGAATCACCAACACCACAATGATTCATTTACTGAAATTTTCTGAACATAACTGTACTAATTGCTGTTCTCAATGTGTTGACCGAAGCACAACATTCAGTAAACAAAGCTTCTTTATTTTGAGGCACACTGAAAGCTTTCAAATCTAGACTGATTAGTCAGACATTAATTTACTTTTCATGTAAATAAATTGGTATTCCATAATTCTTGAACAGGTTGAAGCTATAAATCTGTTGTTATAATGCAGTTTCCTTCTCACACCAAGCGTAAGAAACTTCATTGATCACCGTAGAAGTGAAAAGTATATCATAACTTTATAACTGACTTTCGGTTTTTTGTGTTCTTCTATGTATAATGAAATTTACAAGTTAGAAATGGTATCTGAAACCTTCAAAATAATGTGTTGATCACAATAATTGCTATCTAAAAGAATATTTTCAGAGGAAATTTGTGATGAGAAGTCGATCTGTAGAATGTTAACTGGACTTCGTACAGTAAGTCACGTGTAATTTGTGCATTGACTGGAGCATTTCTTGCTACTAAATATGATTTGACTTAGAACTGTATTATGATTGAATTGTACAAATGAGTTGTATAATTGTTTTCTAAAGCATTAATTTATAAACATCCCTAAAAGCAAAGTTTGAAGAGTTGGTTAGTGAAATGAAAACACTTGACAGTTTAGTATTCACGTACATTCATAAGTGCTAAAAAATATCTATCTCATTGCTTTAAGATATGTTTTCCAAGCAATCTTTTGATAATCGAAGTCTCTGTATACCTCTTTCAAGTTAGAATCTTTGTTATTTTCAGACATACAATTAGGTTAATTTATTAGTGACATAGCTTGATTGAAATAAGATTTTCATTGATCTTTTTATTCAATAAGAATCCGATCATTTAATATTGAAATTTTACGTATTATTGATAACGGTACATTTTATTTCTAACATCTCTCGGTTAGACAATTTAAAGTAAGTAGGTTACTAACATAGAGTCCGTGTAAGATGTATCCCATAAGCTTAATGTCGTATAGATTCACTATAATGATTACAGTTTATGGTGAAAAGAAACACTAGACTAACAGTGGAAATAATAATACAGTAAGGCTCAACAGTTAAACAAAAGCACAGTCTGTATAGTTCTGAATAAATAAACACCACAATATCTTATCGTAGCACATTCCGAAGACTAGAATGAAATTCAAAGCGAACTGATGTATCGACCTAAACTAATTATTTAAATGAAATCATACTAGAATTTTAAAACGATAAACGGGTAATAAAACGTAGTTTGATACATAAAACAATTAAAAACATGTCATTATTTCTTGTTTCAAGAAAATATGTCTAATCAAATGAACTTCATTAGCATATCTTCAAAGGAAAACTAAATAACTGTGTTGAAATTCCACTCAATTCAACTACTATAAAATCATTAAAATGAAGAATGAGTTTCAGGTTACGTAAGAAATTATATTTTTACATTCATTCATTCATTTCATTCAGTTGAAATACTGTTCTTTCTTACAAAAATACCCCGAAAATACCTATCACTAAGACAATATTCATAAGTTTATTAGTACACATCAAAAGCTTTGTGAACAGATATCAGTTATTTATTAAGACCACCAATGGTGATGAGACAGGATAATCAATGAAACATCATACTGAAATAACCCTTATTTAAATATTATTCATGCTAAGCTAGCTTACTAGGTCATCATTATCTGACCTTAAAATCTTGTTTATTGTGACTAGGGTAACAATAGTCGTTTGATAATTATTAGACAATGATGCTTGTTTTCAAAGCAGAAATAAAAATCGTTGGTAAGTAGAATTTATATGAACATACGTGAGTCCTTTATTCATACAATGATTCAGTGGCAGATAAGATTCATAACATTTTACTGTCCTACTTGTTTGATTGTATTTTATGAACTAATTGTACATGGTTCTATCGATCAACTTGTTATGCAGCAGTTATTCAAATTGATGTGACATCATTGAGGATAATGTTTCATGTTAGCAGGTCGAAGACTATATATATCTATGCCAGCTTCTTCAATACTACACATAAACTCTGTTAACAAGCGTCAATGAACATAAAACTGAAGTCCATAATTTGCAACAGATTCACTCCAACGGTTGAATATTAGAAAAGTGAAAAAATTCGATTTGATAATTGTATTATTAACAGAAGTTAATGCTTAATCCATCAATGCTATATGTCTACACGTAATACGAGAAGATTTTAAACTGTTATACTTGTTAATTAAATAAAGGAAATCAAACCTATAACAATAAATGTACTTATATGATTCATTTCTGCTAACTTTTAATATTGTATAACACTTATTCATATAGATTGGAACGAAACTGTTGAAAAATGTGCACTAGTGCGCCTGCATTTCGAAAATACTATCGACCGGAGCCAAAAAAGCCATATTTACATTCAATGAAACTAAAATCTCCGTTTGGAAGACCTACGCGTTCTTCGTAAGTAATACAATCTTTGAAAAGCTTTATATATAAGTCATAAGGAGATTGAGAAATCTCAAATGATCGTTGGAAATACTAATCCACTTATGTCGTATTTTATGTAGAAAGTATATTTACAAACACAAGCTATCAGAAAATAAAGTGATATTTAAGCTATCAGTTTGAGTTTAACAGATCGATTGTAGCTAGACCAAAACTGGAGACCAAGGAGCATGTTTTATCCTTTACTAGACTTCTCAGAAGTAAGTACTCACAACTCCGTCAGGAATCAAACTGAGAATCATCAAACCTCTAAGACTACTGAGTTGGTATTCAACGGCTTACAATTCTAGCTTCAGTCAATCCACTAATAAGTTACTATTCAGCTAAAAAGATTAGTCACTTAATGGATATTATCTAAATACATTATATTGTATCAAGGATAGTTTACTCACTGCATTAACCTGAAATGGAACGAACCAAAATGAAAATCATGTAGCAACTATAAATATTTAAGCTAATTGAATATCAACATTAATTTTGTAATAATATAAGGCGCTAAAAAGATTGATGACTTCATTACGGGAAATCTAGACTTAATCTAAGATGGTATATCAGTAGTATACATCGAGACGTTTTCTACAGGTTTTTACCTGAAAGAAATGTTTTGAGATTTATACTGAAAAGCGAAAGAGATATCAGGGAAGTCAATCAGTAACATGCTTGTATTACAAATGGGATGCTGAAAAGTTGTGTAAAAATCTTGTTAGTAAACTATGTCTTCTCCAAAGATATATATTCCATTTGACCTTAACTTCTTTGTACGACACTCATCACCGAATAGCTTAATCTAACAAATATGAATGTGTATAATGATTTTATATTAGCCATAACATCATCCAACATTTTATTTGGACTAAATGATTTCTGTAACAGCAACAACAACAACAGAATTAATTGTATGCATAAACTGAAATTACTGAAAGTTCTCAAATTATTTGGTTAATATAACTATGGACCATTTATTCCTGGTATCATTTCCCTCTGCAAGATCAAATTGTTACTGCTTTACCGAATAAATTAGATAGTATAAACAAAACCTACTACAATTTATAGTTCACTCACTTCATAATAACCAAGTTAATGTTTCATGTGACTTGTAGCTAAAACTTTTCTTAAAAAATGACTTCATACAAATGAACTTTGATGGTGTTACCATGTATAGTTTGAGATTTTTGTAATTTATGGTTAACTATCACTTTAAATAAAGCTATCAGTGTTAATTAATGGCACGTAAATTAAAACGACTTGTATATTTTCGCTTACTAAAAAAAGTACGAATTTCTACTAATAATCAATGTCATGTATCGAATGATAAAATTTGTTCAAACCATTACATTTGAACCGAAATAATCCAGAATATTTCAAAATCTCATACCCGTTGCCCAATTGTGTGACCAAGTGAACTCAATATCTAAGTGGATAATAGGATGGTGTTTAAAGCGAACGGTATTAGGTTCGAGTCATGGGGTGAGCATTAACACTGAAATGCAGATAAATCCAGTTGACCAGTTCGCAATATTATGAAACGCACGTCTTGCGATTCTACTGCTAGTCAAATTCTATTTATTTTATCTATATCGAAGCAATCCGCATACAATGCACATAGATGCTAACCAACACTGGTACAACTTCCAATTAAAATATCAACAAGTGGGTGACACAAACCATTTCGAATTGAACTAGTTTAGACGCTTATTTATCTTCTACTAAACAGAGTTATAACGATTTTAGTAAGAGAAATGTATCTTACTGTTTAAATTCAGATAATTATATAATTAATCCCTCCATGTCCATACATCTGACATATAATCAAATGATAAATTAATATTGCTTCACAATGTTTTTGACAGTCCTATTTTATACAATTTCATAAAAATAAACTTATCTTTCTAGATATCTTAGAAGTCGGTTAAGTTATGAACGTATGGAGCGGGAACATTTCAAAGACTTAAGAAGAGATGACAGTAATATATTTGATTGTAATGTGCTCACTGAACCGATTCATAGGTTAATAACTAACAGGTAACAATTTTGTTTTGACATTTAAGTTCACAAAGTATTATGTCTCGAGTAAAAATGTTTGACTAATTACGATTTGAAATGAAAAGTATATTTAAAATGAACCAAGATTTACATGAAAACTATTGATTAAAATCATTTTTTGCTATGAAGTTTGATAATTGAAAATTGCATTTAGTATTTAACCTATTTCGGCCTTGTCCAAAATATTGAGATGTTCTTGTTAAGAAATATAAAAAATCATTGAGTGATCTCTTTATTTCTCTGTATGATAAAACTTGTACTGTGTGTACAAATGCGTCAAGCCTACAGGGCTTGTCACAACCTCTCAAAAAATTAGTTAATCCATTCTTCTCCAGTTACTCACACGTATTCTAACCTTGTTTATGGTTCGCTCCAGTGTGTGTGTGTGTGGGCATGCTCACCTCGCTTATCACATGTCTAGCCTATTTTACATCACCTAAATACTTACTTATTCTCCATCACATGGAGTTGACTTATTCACTTCCACTTCTCTTTGCTTGTACACCTTTTATTCTCATGTCTGTCTGCATGAACGATTGCATTAATTACAAGCTAGTCTAACTGGCTTCTTATCATCACCGATACGCTAAAGGGTTTCAGCCAGGTATGATACGTGGAAAGTGAATAGAACATTTATTCCATACCATATCTAATCGTTCGTACAAATCTGAGTCATATTACAAGTCACTAAAGTGCTGAGCCCTAACTCGAATTTAACGAAGCCACTAAAAAATTCCATATTCTGAACGAAATTCAACTTCAATGATATTATCAGTAGGCATTTACAATGTGTTAAGTTAACGTCTAATTATCCTCTGTTTTCTACATTATATAAAACATAGACAACATTCATATTATTCTGAGTAGTAAAGTAGGCATTCTTCGTCTTATTTTCATTTTTTATCGTTAATCTATCAGTATCTTTTTGAAATAATTACCGATCATTCTACGTGCTCTTTTGTATACAAGCTGCTTTTCTATCTTTAATTTTGGCTTTTCAGTTTAGTAAGACAATTGTCAATCAAGCCAACAGATTTATACAGTTATCTAGTTGGTTCTCAAATGACAGTGTAAGTGTGGTTACGTTGACGTCAGTTCTTATGCAGAATAAACATTAAATAGTAAAGTCAAACAAGAAATTTCGAAATCTTTAGATTTTAGGAAGAAAACCAAGCCGAACCGCAATGACGCTGGTAAGTTTGAAGAAAGTCAGTAAATTATTCTAGATTTATGAATTCATTGAATTTAATAAAAACCTTTACAATAGTGAAGACAAGTCATTAAAAAACTCCTTAGTCGACATTAACGAGGGAAAGCATACAGTAAATAATGAAATAATTTATTATAATTATCTGAATATCCTACTTAATACATTGGGAATTTTTAATGGGTAGGGAATACTTTTGAAACTCTAGAATAAGCGAATGGATTCTCAGTATTTATTGTTCACCTTGTCGTAAATAAAACTCCGACTGGAGCTCCTCTGGGATTATTGCCTGTCCCAAGTTCAGATAGAAGAGGAGGACCGAACATGGATGTAACGACCTCATCCCGTAAAAAATTAACCCTCCAAAAAAGCCTAAGTACAAATTGGTCGGCGGCCTATGCTCTACTGTGGGTAACAGAAGTAAGTATGTGAGTAATTCTTACAAATAGACTTGTTATCTTGTTCTAGTCAACAACTTAAAATTTTTTACCGACAATGAAACCACAGCTATATGCACAAATAAATATAGAATAAAGATGTTTCAAATCTATCCTAAACTTTTTTTCCTTATCATTTCTGCAAATCATAATGCATAATGATTACATATGGCGACTACCTCAAATGCATTTCTCATCTAAACTAATTTTAAGAGCTTCTTATAAGCTATGATAGCTAACTTGGGAAGCAATTGGAAGAGGACGTGTAATGTTCCACAATCTTCTGATGATATGATCAGTCGATGTGCAACGATCACGTAATGAATTCACACCAACTTCTCACGTTGAGTCCAACGCATGACGGAAGATATTCTTTTACAATAACTAAACTGTTGCTCAAATCCTTTTGCATTAGAATAAGAGGTATTTTATAGCACATGATACCTTCTCTAGTACGGAACGGAACGCAGTGAAATGTCATCCCTAAGAATAGTTTCTTAATGCAATACATATGGATATTATTTGGCTTTCATGTTTAACAACATCTAGTTTGCTTCAAACATCTGACTTCCTGCCATCGGAGTATGAGTGTGATATTACTATTATGTATTTTTGATAGAGTAGTGAAAAGACGTTATTGATCTTATCACTGTCTTATCAAAATTATAAAAGGAACATTCTATTTTACAATTATATTATTTGAATCATAATTTGCAGTAGTTTCAATATTTAAACCAATAAACTATACCCATGCCGTGAGAAGGGAACGGGTGGGACTTCTCTGGCAATAGCATCTTGAAAGAGAGAAGGTGGAGTCTCCCTATTCTCGGGCGTACCAGGGCATTTGGATCCCCACTTTCGATTGTCACTTACTTACTTCAAGCTGATCACCCAGAATCATCTTTTGATCTCAAAATCCGGATCGGAAATTTGTATCAGTTTGCTGATTTTCATCAAATTAAAGTGCACTGCAATGATCAAGTGTCCAAAAAATAAACCAAATTAAATCAATACTAATATTGATCAATGTGTATCAGTAATAAATTTTTTCAGTGATATTAAACATTTGATCTGAACTGTTAATTCTGTTAATTACTCACTCTTTTATTTAAATCCATTCTCTAAATATTTAGACTGAAATACCGACACGCTATTCGTATTAGATTTGGAAAATAATGTCTGCATTTAATCATAAGATATCATGATTGATCAGTTAATGGGTTTTCTTTTACATATTTTCATAACTGTTACAGCATTAAATGGTAGATAAGTAAGGAGAGTCACAAATTTCCATTGCCCTTTCATATAATCATAGACTTTTATAGCGTTTATAATTTAAACACAAATATTCAACTTCATTAATCTATAAGAAGTATCTGTTAACTTGCAAAACCATTTTGGAATTTTTTTTAGAGTTACGTTCAGCAAATTGTAAGAGAAACAAAATCAAACGGAAATCACAAACATCAAGACCGTCAACGAGTTTTCCGAACGCTGATATGCTCAATAATATTGATACAAACAATTTTTTGATAGTAAAATCAAAGAATGCTTTGAGTCACTCGTGTTCAATTTCTACAAGACTAAATCTAAATGAAATAGACGGACTGAATTCTGAATTTGTAAATCTAGAAAATAATATATCTGTATGCTTGAAAATTCAAGGTTTGTCAATATTTGATTCATGGATACAGACTCCATTTTTCCAGATTAGTCTACTATGTAAATTTTCTCCGATAATTAACATTAAAACTGATGTGATGGTAAATATTTACAACTTAAGTTATAGAGAACTTTGTTCGTTCCTTATTTTTTCGACCAAAAGTTTTCGTCAGTCTAAGTTCATCCTTAGTGCGCATCACCAATAAGTAAATTGAAGATGTAATTTATGGACGTTTAGAGAAATAATTCCCATTTGACTGGTAGGCTGTGTACCACACAGCTCACATTCCTTGTTAGCGTTTTAATTCTGCTGACATCCAAACCATATTTATTTGGCGCCTGCAAGATGAGATTTCATGTGTGGGGTCTCCGAAGAGTGTTTGACCTCCAAAATATTTAAACCTCCTTTGTGAATAAAGAAACAATTTCTTTCCAACTTAAGCCTGCTCTAGTAATCTTTGATTCACTTTAATTCCTGGGATACTGTGACTGCTTCTTGTGCTTTGTATGTCATTTTACTTCTCTCCTATTTTAAATTAACACCTAGAAGTTATTTGACCTTTCTTAATGCTTATAGAGGGATGCCTTGATATAGTTTGTGTTATTATACTGTTCGAAGTATAATGTTCAAATATTTCAAACATTTCAGTTCAACTCCGTCTTCTTACTTCACTCTTGAAATTCGTACTAAGTAATGATTGTTTTAAATTCCAGATGATTCATCACTAACCGACTACTTTTTACTTTATACATGTGACCTTTCTGTAATGACACACATGAAACAAGTCTATACTTAAATACCAACCCTAATAGACTTGTGAAAGGTCAGTTTTTTGACTGAAATAGAAACTTGATATAAATCGTCCTTCACAATCACTGAGAACCTAAAATCAAACACTCACAAGTTTGAAATAAAACACTCGCTTTCTCTAAGTGTTAACATAGATGATATAAAGGATTCTTTTATTTCATTCTGTCGGCTGTATGTATCAATCTTAAAATTTATCATTCGTCAGATAAAAGTTCCGGTATGTTTTTGGATTGAAATTATTAACAGTCTTATCTCGAAATCAACAGTACTCTTTCTATTGAATAAAAAGTTAGATGTAGAAATAGTAAAATTCGGTTCTCTAAACAACTAATATGTATACAATAACATTAGATATTTAGTGTACAACCACGACTGTTGGTTACTAAATATTATTAACGAAAATGAATAATATTTATATTTACTTTATTATCAACGTTCCAGATTAATTCCGAAGTTAACTAACAGTTCACCTAATTTCTCTTATATTGATTGTCAAATATTGTCAACATGACTTTGGTATTAGAATATACTGACGTTAAGTCGAGACGTTGTTATTATCAGTGATTCAATTCCGACAACTATGCATGAAGATTATCGAATAAAAGAATTGGGAATAGTTTCCTTGTAATCGTTGTATCACTCGATATACTGGTAACAGTGACGTACATAAGTTGTATTTCTGTAATGAATCGTAACCCAATCGATTATCATTTCGCCAATGTGATAAGTTCATAGTAAAACAAAATACACATCGAATATGTTACTATCATAAACAGAGTGAATTTACTGAATGTTATTTGAAAACATATTGTACTTTAAAACTAACTCATCAAAAATGTCCATATTACTCATCATATACAAATATAGCTATGACGAGATGAAGTCATTTATGTTGAATAAATTAACTTGTTACTTTTACATTTTTAGGCAGTCCAAGGAAATCTACCGCACAGTATACGAAACAAAAAAGTAGTTTAAGTGAAGGTGATATTGTGAAGATTATTTCACCAAGATTTCTAAATCAACATAAACATTCAAGCAAGTTTTTTTCCTCATAACAAAAACATTTTTATATCTCTTGCTTAAAACACTTTTGAAATTTAAAAGAATGGCATGCTAGATTTAGAATAATATAATGTATCCCAAATTACACAGAACATTAACACTCAGTACTTTTAAATTGTTCCTCATGATTCTAAGGGAAGCACCGAAATCATTTTAACCAGTCAGAAAAATTAACTTGAGGTAAACTTTTTCCATTACGGGGTTGTGAAGATTGTTAAGATACACATATGAAATCATGAAGCACTGGACGACCGTTTCGTCCTGGTCTGGGACTCATCAGCAGTGCGCATCCATGACTTCTGCATCTCGCAGGATTCGAACCCAGGACCTTCGGTCTTGCGCGCGAACGCATAACTTCTGGACCACTGAGCCGGTATCTAATGGTGTTAATGTCTAACTTCGATCAATTCATGGAGTTGCGCAACGTTGCGTGAATTTTTTTGTCAGTAATCATTATCCGTCGGTAACATGCTTTGTAATGATCACTTTAGTTTCCATACGAAAAAAGCGACCAATAAACTAACTAAGATTTAGGAATCTAACCATAAATGAGTCACGAATACTAAATAATGATTATGTGATATAGAAAAGTTACGAAACTCTCATGGTCAGATACTGACCATAGGAATCAGACAACAATAATATGCTTACTTCACGCAATGATAGGTTAGTACTAACTTCAGTGAAATATTTGTACTATGGTTATTGATAAGACTTTATTGTGAATATTAAATTACCCAAGAAACTTTTAGTGCGATGTGTACTGATAGAAACGCTTAAAATTACTGAAGCACATATCAGAAAATAAAACTCCTTAAAAGGTTTCATATTTAAATAAAATAACTATTCTATAGAACAAACTTTGCGAAATCATTCGTCTGACTTAGTTAGAATGGCATTATTTTTTGAATTAAGTCTACCTAGAAATCAATAAAAATGTTAATAAACACTTGTTCTGCGTGTTTTTTAGGAAGAGGTGAAATTTTTCAAAATGTTTTTCTTGTAATTATAACGAGAGTTAACATTGACAATTAAAACACAATAATCACGTTTGAATCAATTGAACAAGTACAGCTACAAGAATAAGCTGTTGGATAGTCATAAAAACACAGAAACGTTACAACTAAAGTCATGAAAATGGAAATAATCAATTCGAACAGATATCATTTAGCTTGAAATTGGTTTTATTTTCACTAATTAGTAGAATTAATAAAAATTTAATTTGATAAAGAACTAACAATGTTTAGGCAACCCATATAACTATTTGCTCTTATTCATTCACAAAATGATTTCTTCAAATACTACTTAAACAAGCATGATAAGTTCAATAACTTCACATCAATGTTGTCTAGAAAGTCAATTTTTTATTTAATTTCTTCGTACTGCACCAACTAACCTTATGGCGAAACTTTATAAACTTGGAACGTGACTGACCATATGTTTAGATCAGATCTCTAACTTCTGTGTAGTCTATATCCCTGATCCCATGTAGATACAGAAACAAGAAATTTTTAAATTACGTGACATACATGATACATAACAAACGATCGGTCATATTTTCAGTAGTGCTAATTGGCAAGCATCTGTTCCACTTCCAAACTCACTTTACAGTATAACTTCTCACTAGAAAACCAAGAGATCGATTTTAAGGCAGGCCAATATAATGTAGTTTTTCAAGATTCATTATAATGTGAATTACATGCGGATCGAATAAATGTCCATTAAGTAGACTGGAAGTAGGCGTGGACAAAAATGAATCTCTAGAAAAAACTTATACCGAAAACTGAATGCATATTTTATATATTTTTATATATACATGGAACATGAAAAAAGCATATTCATATTCAAAGGATCAACGCTATTCAACAACATAGATCTTCTAAGATTTGGATAAAATAGTTTTCGCTTGTAGTCGATTCCAATCATGGGCTGATATTAAATGAAGAATTAGTGAAAACCACATTGCAAATCTATTTTTATTCCAACGTTAGGCTTTCAGTATGTATATAATTGTGATCTAGCCAGAGATCGAAACAACAACCTCACTATCTTAAAGTGTTTTAACTTTAGACCAATGCGTTGGAACTTAACAGTTCATGTGTCCCCTTTTAAAAAATCCACATTAGGAGTCGACATCATCGAATTAAATTGGCCGGTTACTGACCCACTCTAATTATAGGTAAACACCAGGAACCACTTCTCATCATAACTTCAATCTACCTGGCGTTCACAAATACACTATAGTAGGAGGCCCCAAATTAAGACAAAACTACTGTCCAGTCACTCAGTTTGTATCGATCCGCAAACTGATATCAGTCCGTAACAAACACTAATTTTAATTTCAACTAATTTCATAAAACCTACAACCAAGAAAAAGTATTTCCACTTTAAGAAAAAACAATGAAATTCTTCATTATCGAATCGAACAAATAACGTGTTCACATATTTTTTTATGCACCAGTTTGTTCTCAATATTAATTATGTAATATGTGAATTGCATAGCCTGCATTTTCATTGCTCTCTTCTTCAATTGAATGATTTTTTTCTATAACTGATAGAGTACTTAAGCTAATACAATTTTTATTCTTTTTCTATTGACTGAAGGAATATAAATGTAAACTGCTCCTAATAATTAACAGCCTATAGCTATTTTGTTTTAGCTTGTATTTTGATAAAAACCTTTTTAATAGCTGATAAAATATTTGCCAAGATTACTACTGAAGCAGAAATAAAAAAAGTAGTCAGTTTACTTCTCAAGACTAAGAAATATATTGTCTCCTATTTGACAAATTTAATTGTTATTAAAAAAATGCTTGAAAATTCCAAACTGAATAGAAAAGTGTATTTTTTTTACTTGAATCTTCTGCTTACTATCTGTTTCATGATCAAATTTAAATTATGCTGTATGTTCTTCACAGAATTACGCCTAAAGTTATTGAATTTTCTATAGTATTAGTTTGGAATGAAAATCTGTACATAATCTTGAATTAAACAGATGCAGAATGACCTGGATATTAAATTATCATTGAACTTTCTTTAAACTAACTGAATCATGATATTTCTAGTTCTCATGGATTCTTCTTTTATATGAATTTTTAAAATAACTTCATACTCTTTATTTCAAAGGAACTCAAAGGTCAAATGAAAACATACTTTCATCTGGTCGTGCATACTCAATACCTTCCATATCAACTGAAAGAATGAGAAGGATTTTTGATGACGAATTATGTGTTTACGGTTATCAAACAGGGAACACTTCAAAAGCATCAGGTTTTCACGAATTAGATGATGTTCCTGAAAATCAACTTCACGCCATGTCCTTTTACGACAAAAACAAACAGGTGAAAATGTCACGCAAAACCTCAACCCGTCCTAAAAGTGCTGGAGAGGCGTACAATAGAATGAGTTTGGTAAGTAATTACCTACGTCTGTACATAGGACCCATTGATCTTACATGTAAAATCTACAACCCACTTATGTGATTTTAGTGTAAACTACTATGTCAAGCCTACATGACTTGTCTTAGCTTTCGGACAAACCAACTAGCCTAGTCTTCTCAGGTCATTTTTCACACGTTTTTTTGACCTAGTTAATTATTCGCTCATAAACTTGTCTGTTTTTATTTGAGTGTGTGCATCGCGTAATTTGCTTATTTTTGTCGCACTGTGAATAGTGAGTCATACGTCTTCTAAATGGAGTTAGTCTACTGGCTTTCGCCTTGCTTAACTTCGCCTTTGCGACTCATCTTTATGTCTCTCTGAATACACAAATGTATGAAATAAACTAATTACTGTATCCGTCAAATCAGAAAGCATAAAATTTAATCGGTACATTATGAAAATGACTTCAAGGCATATGCATACGTTCGTAAAGTTTTTACTTGAATAATGGTTACTACTGAGAGTTAAGAACAAATAGTTCAACCAATCACCATGCTTAATAATAAGTACTTATTCAGCTACCGCCAAGCTTATGTTGCCTGAAAATAAAATTGTTTGTATGTTCAATAGTTACAGTAAACATTGTTTGCGTAGATTCAGTTTAGTTTACCTTTAACTAAAATGCTCAAAGTTCATACTTAATCTTGGTTTCAGTAATTTCTATAATCACTTTTTGATAGATAATCATAAATTTAATTTAATGGTAAACAAATAGAGAACAGTTTGATTTAATTCTTCATATAAAAAACCCAATTTAGGTATATATCATTTGGATGATAACAACTTATTTTCAAGTACAGTTATGGAGATTAGTGCTTTTACATATCTGAAATCATCAATCAATCGTTGTTAAACCACTATTAGAAACCTGGAAGCGCTGGACGGCCGTTTCGTCCTGGTATGGGACTCATCCACAGTGCGCATTCATGACTCCTGATGATTTCAGATGTGTAAAAGCACTAATCTCCATAACTCTAATTGAAAATATCGTAAATTGTGCTCACTAGTGACTAGTTTCGTTCTAGTTTCGGAGTTCTAGTAAGAAGACGTGATCAGTGGAGTTCAACCATGGGTGAGGTCGCGCAAAAATCCCTAGATCAATCAGAGTTAGACATTAACACCGTTGGATGCCGGCCCAGTGGTCCAAAGGTTAGGCGTTCGTGCACAATACCGAAGGTCCTGGGTTTGAATCCTGCGAGTTGCAGGAGTCGTGGATGCACACTGCTGAAGAGTTCCATACCAGGACGAAACGGTCGTCCACTGCTTCCAGGTTTCTAATGGTGGACTAACAATGATTGATTGATGATTACAGCTTAGCCAATATCATCTATAGCAACCGCACCCATTCTTCAGTTCGTACACATTTAAATTTGGTAACCCATTTAATCAACAGTTCCATTTGTATCGGTAACACTTTACTTATGTTTGTACGCTATTATTTCCACTTTTCTGTAATCATACATGCTTCATCAGTTGTTCAAGTCTACACATATATCTTCCTTACCGGCTTAGATGTTAGTTACTTCGGTATCTCGATGATTCATTCGTTTGCTTATGTGTATGTGCCTATTAATTCTATTCACTTATTCGTTAACATTCGCATTTCTGTTCGTATTTGTTTGTCGTTTTACAACACATCAATTAAATATATTTTCCCATTGTATTAAAGGTTTCATCTAAGACAATTTACTCAGTCAGTTTCATAATATGAAAAGTCATCCAAATACTGTTCTTTATAACTGAACTATGAGAACTTTTGTGTAGTGGACAATTTTTTCACGTATAGCCTAAATGTATTCATAAAGCAAAGACTTTCGTTAACCACAGCAGTTACCTTAAAATATTTTTGTCCCTTATTAGCCAATTAATTAGTAAAGAGATTGTCAAAATCGAGAAACTGTTGTTACCATAATAACAGAATCTATGTTTACAGTGGTTTTATGTAGTTTGTGAATTTTCCAAAAGTTTACAAGTGCTTTTTTTTTCCAAAATATTTCCAGTCACACTACATTCAACAAAAAAGATTTGTGCATTCAGGAGAGCATCAGTTTGTATAAGAGTTCATTAACGGGATACAAATATTCCTATTAATGACTACTAATAATTTTATCAAATATATACTTATGTGACGATTTATTAAAAGGGGTAATCAAGTGATGTCATAACCTCATAATCTGAAATTCATTATCATGAAATCCTTATATTTTCGTAATACTTAACGTAAGAGGAGTGCCAGTTAATTGATGCATTAGATATAATGTGGTACAGTTGATATTTTTTCTTAACCAAACAAATTGAAAATGAACTATTTTAACGATGGAATTACCATCAAGAGAAAGCTAGTAGTACAATTATCATGTCTTTTTTTACGTCGATTCAGTAATAACATTTATGTTATCCATCCTTAGCTATTTTAAATAATAAAATAAACTTTTCTTTCATAAAACTCTCCATAAATGGAATCATACTTAACCTTATTGATTGAACTTCGGGTTAAAAACCTGGAAACTGCTTCTAAGGGTGAAATTCACAAACATCTGTCCATATGGTTATCGTAAATAGTTACGCGTTCATTTGGGTGTTTTGTAAAAGTTTTCTTGAAACAATAAACACTTCCTATCAATATGTAATCAAAAATAAAACCGTTTCCATATAACTCCATATAGATCAATGGAAGATATTAGTGTTAAGATTTTTAATTAAAAGAATGCTGAAAAATACAATGAACAACTTTCTTATTGATACATAATTCTATAAGAATTACTTTGTCTTTTTGGAAATCCCTTGGACATCAATACTTCATTAGTACTATTAATACTATTATGAATATCTATAAAAGTTGAAAATACTCTCAAGTACTTCCTTTTTCACATTTTATAATTGATTGTTGTGATATTTTTTTTTAAACATCATTACAGATTAGAGATATGAAAGGATTATTAAATATTCAATCTATCGATACTCCACCAAAATCTTTGCTATCAAGTGCAAGGTATCAACCAAATAGAATTAAATCAGCAAGAAATTATCGACCGAAACGAATGCAACAAATATTTTCTTCATGCTTAAATTCTACAGACAATCTAAATCTCCAAAATACTGATAATTCTGTTTCACATGAAACAATCACAAACAGTGTACATAGTGCAAGACAACGAGCAGATATTCATTTGCCAAATGTCAAATATTTAATGGAAACCTATGATGATGTAGAAAAATGAAATTCAAACTCTGATTGTCTCTTTAAAAAAAACAATAGTTTATATCTCATTTGAAAAAAATAACTATTTCACTTATTTGTTGTTGTTGTTAACTTCATAATTTCCTATTTTTACACTGTTAAACAACAATTTTCTGAAACTCTCATCAATCGTGTTAGAATTTCATGTTTGATCAATGATATTGTAGTGCCTCCACGTATATTCGAGTTCGCTTACGTTTAATTTGGTTAAGCCCTTTCGATTAATTTATTTAACCAAGCCATTTGTATTGCAACAATTTATGTGTACCATTCGTTCTTATTATTGTCTGGTTTGTATGAGCTCACATGACGTGTCCCACCTGTCATTTGACCTTGTCAACCATTCGTCGCTTTTATTCATGTGTGCTTATTTCTCTTGTCGCATGCCTGTCGTATATTTGTTTGACTATATATTCTTAGTCATGCTTTGTTTCTTGGAGTTGGCTCATTAGCCTTCTCCAACGCGCTTCGCCTGTTCATTCGCTTCCTTCACCCATTCGTTCGCATTGTAATCCTAGGAGTTGGCTCAGCAGCCTTCTCCAATTCACGTTGCTTCTTTCGTTTTATTCTCTGCTTTGTGGTGTGCCTCAAATAAACGTATTCATCACTTCGAGTTCACCTTCTGATTTATAAACCGTCAGACGCTATTTAGTGACGATTGTCTGGACGAGCTAATTACCGAAGATTAAGAACACGCAGTAAATCGACACACTACAATATGGATTTTCACATTGAATGTATTGTGACAAGTGCTACAACAGTTTTTTTTACGTTTAATTGTGAATAAATGTATTTGATTAATTATAATGATTTTTCTAAAGTAACTTAATAAGAATAAATATCAGATGTCTAGTGTAACTATCATATATACAAGTAAACATAACAACATCGAAAATGAAGAAATGTTTAGTTAACAAAAAGGTTGTATATTCGTTAATAAATCAGAAATTTCGTAGTTTATTCATTATAATAGATTTTTCCATCAGACATTTGTTTGAATATCAAATAAAAGGCTTGAAGATACATACGTGAGATATACAAAACACATTTCATTAGTCGAATGAGAATTTAAAAATTCACAAAGGTGAACATAGAATGGAGCCCCCTGAAATAATTAATGTATTAAACATCTTCAACTAAACTTCAACCATACTATCCTACTTCCTTTAAAGATGACAACTGTGGTAGTTATTAGTAAACAACTATACTACACTAACTTTATCCTATTTGACAAGAGAAAAGTTTAAAAATAAAATGGAATTTCAGAGCGCAAAATCTTATACTGTGACATCATAACACAAGTTTATTTCATTGAACGACGATACTTTTAAAAATTAATTACTAATTTAAATAGGATTCGTTTCGGTACTGAAGATGTGTGCTTACTTACTTACTTACGCCTGTCACCTTCAATGGAGCATAGGCCGACCAATATTCTCCAACCTACTCTGTCCTGGGCTTTTCTCGGCGTATTATGTTCCTTGGCCTTCGTATTTTCTCTTTACCTGGAGGGTTTTAAGTGAGGGCTTATCTTGTGACGTAGTTTGGTGCTTTCCACAGTATGTGTCATATCCACTTCCACCGCTTCTTCCAGATTTCCTCCTCCACTGGAATCTGGTTTGTTTTCTCCTACAGTAGATTGTTGCTGATGGTGTCTGGCCAACGGGTCTGAAGTATTTTTGAGTTCCAGATGTTGTTCAATTGTAAAAATGGAGCTCTTACTTTGCCAATCTGCGCCTCTACATCTGTATCGGATCCACCTTGATTGTCGATGGATGTACTAGAAAGAGAATATTCATACATCTCATACTTCCTTAGGTACTCACGCTGTTCGATTAACTACCCTTATATTTCAATGAGAGCTAATCATAATATTTATTTTCTTTATTAATACTATGTTCTCTCGCTTGTCATCAATAAATAAACGACTTGTTTTATAATTCATTATTGAAAACACTGGAGTATAATTGCTGTATGAAATTAAATAAAACTTATGTAATGTTTGGAAGATGGTCAGAAATTCATCACATTGTCGGTACATTTAAAACTCATAGACTACTCAATAATGTTGCAATTCAGTGGAGAATGTTTATTTATAAAATCATATATTGGAAGCTCTGGTTTTTTTATGGTCTTTTAGGAATTAGGAATTAAGTTTAAAGATCGACTATTGATTGATAAACCTCACTAAAGTATTGAAACATTCTTGCTGTATTCACTGTCATAATTCATCAAATTTACATTGAACTAATAAGTATTTGTTTTTCTGACTTTTATCCATGATTTCTTTTGTCAAGATGAAAATAATGGTTCCGAAATATGAAGTAAAATAGTTAGCTTTATTATTCTGCCGCCAAATTTGAGATTTTATTTGAAAATGATACATGACAATGGAAAATATTGAATTATATGCTTCTTTAGCTTAGAAGACAAAGTTGCGAATGATTCTTTCAGTAATATTAAATATTCTATTGAACGATTTTTATTGCAGCAGAAATTGTAATTTCAGTTAGGCAAAATAAATGAATACGATAGTATCACTTGGCGAATTGGAAGTTACACAACTTCGCCTAGTCAATAGATCCTTATACAAAATGTTATGGTGAAAAAGTTTGAAAAGATTGTAGAATTAATCACATCCACTTATTTCTTTACTGTGTGTAATTTTGACGATATAGAAACATAGTTGAATTGGGCTGATGGTTTAAAAGTGTACGCTAAACCGAAATCACTTAATTTAGTGGTATAATTAGCATATAATCAACTATCAGAAAGAAATTAATCGAATATAATGGTTTTGAATTTCCGTTTAATTTAAGCATGACACTAATAGATGAATATTATTGAAGTGTAACTAAAAAACAAATATTAGGAATTGTACACAAGATAACAACACTTTTTGTTACTCGGTAGTTATCTGAATCGTTCATTTCATTTCTGTGGCTGTATTTCTTATATTTTTAGAAGATTCACTCTATTTTAATGTTAAAAATTCAGTAACAATAATATTAATCAGTGTAAGATATTGGAAAGGAAGGCTGAGGATATAGTTACTTTGGAGAATGTTGGTTGGAGGCTTATGCCTCATTAGGAGTAAAAGCATAAGTAACTAAATTAAATTGGTTTAGTATCATATTCTTATATTTTAATATGAACTGAAGCTTAAAATAAGTTAAAGTACTAATAATAATAATAATAATAATAATAATAATAATAATAATGATAATAATAATGGTCAGGTGGTTTTAATGCACTCAAAATTGTGATGTAAATTAAATTGTATTGTATAGATATGATATTTGAATTATACGTTTCAAAGTAGGATAAATAAGATTAGTTTATGATACATGTTAACGCCTTGAATTTAGTTCGCTGATTTAGTTTACACTGATTCCGGTTCATGAATTTATTCAATCTGTGATATTGTGCAACCATCATCCAATACTGTCAGTGATATCCACTGCACTTCCAAAAGGTAGAACACTTGTGACAAAACTTTCCCAGCAGGACTTCAGGAATCCCGCTCAAAGTTTTTTATGCTTATTAACATGAGAATTTTAAAGGAACTGATCTTTTTTTTTCGAAATGTTTTCTGTTTTCGCTGACAGCTAGTGGTTTTTAACGTAGAAAGAAAGTTGAAGAAATAAATTGCCTTCTTCTATAATTGCTCTGCAATCACTCGACTGTTTTGAGACCGTTAATAGTTCGAAAATAATGCTCTACAAAACAGCAATGTTGATCATAATAATCCTGATGACTTAATTTTATGCATTTATTGGAAGTTATTTACTTGTATCAAAGATTGTTAGAAACAAAAACGCAAAAATGTTTCATATAAAACTTATGTAAAATATAATTTCCTACCTAAAAGAAATAGAGAAAATAAAAGTACAAGTAAGTAAACGGAATTAAAAGCCAGGAAAATGAGAGACGGACCACTATAACTAGAGTGAAATGAGTAGGTGAACATATCTATTTTGGAATACTCTCAGCCTAATCAGAAAATCATGTTAACTGTTTTGAGTTAAATTTTTTTTAATGAAGGGGATTTGTGGAGATTGTATTATTTTTATAGCTGAAAGCACGATTTAATCTAACCTAGATCACCATTAGAAGCCTAGAAGTATTGGACGGCCTCTTCGTTCTCAGATGAGACTCATCACTGAGTCAACACTCAGTGGTGTTAACGTCTAACGTCAATCGATTCATAATGTTGTGTAACCTTCATCCATTGCCTGAGGCGGATAACTGTCTGCTACCCAATGACACGGTTATCCACCGTTTCCAGGGTCTAGCCTATAATTATTCTAGTCTCCATTTATAAACAGTTTATACTGTAATTAACTTTTTCAGTTTTTATCTATAAGTGAATTAGTTACTGAGTATCCAATCTAAGTGTTTGTTTGAAACATTAATCTAAACTGATTATTATCTTTAAAGGGAATTTTTTTAGTTACACAATCAGTAAACGTAATCTATTTAAAGTTGATAATAATAGAGATTCAATATCATGCATATAGTTTTCTGATGAGTAAAAACTACGCAATTTTTATGACCACTAAGTATAGGTTGATAATTATCATAGAGTAATAAAGAGTGAATTGGTTATAATTATAATTAAAATAAAAAGAGGAAGAAAGTTATTTTAATATGATCAACTTTGTACAATTTGTTTCAGTAATGCTTAGATAATACACCATATATATTGACAAACTATACATTACTAAGCGCACATACCTAATACTCAATTCATACTGGTTTTTGTACTTGGTTTAATCATTAAATATTTGTTAAACTGAGGCTCGACAGATACAGTAATAAAGTTCTATCCATTTTTTTTATTGTTGTTAATAAAAACAATCAGTCGGTATTAATTGTCTTCATCATTCTTCCAAACTCCAGATGATTATCTTCAACCCCGGTAGCAGTAAGATTATGAATTATTAATAAGTCAGTGGTTAGATTTTTTTGGCTAAAACA